AATAAGGTAATATGAAAATATACATTAATTGTTATAAAGAGTGAAGGGAAAAAATAATTAAAAGTTATAGAATTTTAGATGGTATAAGGCTTAAAAGAGTGTTAATTTTTCTGTGATTTATTTAAATATTATTACGTAATTTGAAAATATATAAAATTAATAAAAAAAATTACGTTTAAATTTCTTAAACTTAGACGAATAAGGAAATAATAATGAAGAAAGATGAATGAATCGCATCCATTTTTCATCGTCTTCCTGTGAGAACTAATCCCAAATTCCCTTAAGCTCTTTAGAGTTTGCTCCAGTTTAATTTATTTCCTTTTGTTTTTATTTTTTGGTTTTTATGATGATATATCAATTATGCGGTTATTGCACGATTAATATGTAGAAGGTTCGTGCCAAACCAGAACATGATTCAATAACTTGTCAGCGTAATGGGAGGAGATATCACTTTGCCCATGTGATATATTAAAAGTGTTTAAGGTAAATTAGGTTTTATGGATTGAAAAGTAACTCCTCTCCTTTGTTTATAGATATTTATTGATGCTATATTATCGAGATTTATATATAGATTTTATCTTGATTTTCTACAAATTTTTCTCGTCCAATTTGTTAAAAAGGCATTCAATACAGATTTTTATTCGAATTATAATTTGGAGTATAAACATTACTCCTTGTTTAATGGAATAAATATAACTTTAGCATAAAGATAATTTTCTGGAATGGAAAGTGGCATTTTTCATATGGGATTATTCTATAAAATAGATTTAAATACAATATTAACAAAATATATCTCTAGTAAAATAACAATCAGTACAAGGAGACAAAGATATTAATGTATAAATAAAATTAAATAAATTAAATAAGCAAAATCGCAAAACGAATAAATTAAATAAGCAAAGTAAGCAAAGCAAAAATCTTTAAAAAGTGGGGTTATATTATAAGCATTGTAAAGATATTCTTCTCTACAAGAAGAATATCTTTACATTGCTTATAACATAGCCCTATTTTCTAGAAAAATATTCTTGTGTATTTTTCTAGAAAAGTTATATTAAATTATTATTTCATTGTTAAGGTCAAAGATTATTTTTGTACAATTAGTCTCTTCGAAAAAAAATTTTCTCGAAGAGACTAATTATACAAAACTTTTATATTAAAAATGATAAATACAACATAATCTTGAAAGTAGTTCAGGCAATTTATAAATTATATTAAAAATTTATAAATACTTTGTTAAGCAATTTTTGCTAAAATCGAATCAATTTATTTTCTAGAACAGAATAAACACAAAAGACTTCATTTAAGTGTCGATACAGAGTGAACCAAAAGTAGGTGGACAGTAGGTGGAATAGGGTTTGTGTTAGGACTACACTATAACAATGGTGCATATTTAACTCGGTTATAGTTGAAGAATTACATCAGCGATGCATTTCAAGAAATTAATACACAAAGATACTTGTGCAAAAATGTTTGTCGAAGCGTGAGATATGAACTTCAAAGCTATGTAAATTGTGATGTACGACAGTTTGAGCACCTGCGTTGATAAAAGTGTATTGTATTGTATTAGTAAATGTAACTGTATATGTAATTTCAATAAATGTTATCATTTACTGTCCACCTGCTTTTAGTTAACCCTATACTTGTGAAAGAAAGAACTCGAACAAAATATGCGATAATCAAGAATTATTCGGTGTTTTCGAATAATACTTCAATAATATACAATAGTAAATACAAATAATATAGATACATATAAATATAGAGACTTTTAAACAGAAATTTCATTGCAACATATACTGTAGAATTGTAATTTTAATAGCTATACTAATTTTTTATGAAGCAATAAATGCCCTAAATCAGTAGTTTCTAACGTTTTTTTTATTTCGTGCTTCTTTGGAATCTTTAATGTTTATGTAGTCCCAGACATTATCAATTAATGGAAAAATACATCAATTTTATAATAAACTCTATAAAAATATCGGTGTCTATTAATTGCACATTTATTTTCTATTATTTCTTCTCAATTATTCTTTGTTAATTAATAAATATAAATAGATGTTTATGCCGGCGTTTGAAGTCACAGTAATAATGTTTAAATCTAAAAACATCTTTAAAATGTAGTTTTATTTGGCTTAATAATATGGCAGTAACAACATTTTAGTGATAAACTTTGAAGTAGGAGAAACATGGGAAATTTCATAGAAACATTATTCTATGAAACCCCCATGTTTCTCCTATTTCAAAGTTTATCATTTAAAAAAAAGGGAACTTAGCCCCCGAATTTCCAAAATTTTTCTATGGCCTCCCGTAACTTGCCATGGTCCCAGGTTGGTAACCGTTGCTCTAAATTATGTAGAAAGTTGATTTTAAACTATAGCAAACGTATAATATTATACGTAAAGATTTTTTCCTGAATAAGAACAAACAAAACAGAAAAGCTTGTTTGTTCGAATTCAAAAATGCTTTTTCTAAAACAAACAAAGGCTATTTATAAAAGCAAATATTTATCTAGAACATTTGTAAATGTAAGAATTTCAATCATTTTAAATTTATTTAATTAATTTATTTCTATTTTAGAGGAAATTTTTTCAATTCATACTAGAAAACATGTCTTATATAATTTAAAATTAATACATTTAATACAAATAACAAGCCGACGTACAGAAAATTCTATTTTTTTTTTCTAGAATCTAAACAAAGAATAAATTACAGAAATTTCTAAAAAATATAATTAGATACATTTAAAAAAATACAAATGTTATTATACTTTAGAAAGAAAATTTATTTGCGTTTACATTCGAGTAATAAATTTCTGATGGATTTTGGTCATTTTAAAATTTAAAAAAGTATATAAAAAATATAAAATTTCTTAAAACATTATCTTTCTTACAAAAGAAAATAAAGTAAACTACATTAAAAAAGGAAGAAATAACAGAAACTGTTAACATATTTGGAAGATGTATCACTTGAAAATAGGATCAAATTGTAAACAAACTCATGAAAAAAAGAAGAAATTTTATTTTAAAACTTTTAACTAACTAAAATAAATAAATAAA